CTACTAAAACTAAACATTTTTCTTACGTTCAATACATGTAGATTTCATTCAATGTAAAGTATGTCAACAATTACCTATTTAAATTACTCAGAGGCACCCGGAACAAGCGTATGAAACACTTGCTGATTGGCTGATTTATTTGTGTGAGTCCTTATAATCTATGATCATACACTTGGAAGTGGATATGTAGCTTTTATAATAGTAAATAATTCGTACACCAGGCACTTGTATTTATATATTGAAAAATAATTCATGATGGTAGGTTTGCAATAAAGCAGAAAATTATTTTTGTTACAGATATGGAGCAGAGTAAGAAAACTGAGAAGATAAAAAAATCAGTGGACTTTGGTATACCAGTGACAGGTCCAACTCTCGACCCGCGACAACCAATGGGTCAGCAGTGTCGCCAACTCCTGGTCAAAGAGGCCGGGCACAGGGTCATATCTGGGGTGTTTACAGCTCCCAAATCAAACCGACGCCACTTTATCTCCCTTATCTATGACATCGTACATCTAGGGGATGTAAGTTGTTAAAAACACAGGCAGCTTTTAAAGCTGTTACATTGGTAACCTTTCAATTTCATTAAAGATTTCAAAGCTAGAGACTTTTGAAAAAGGTGTTTAACTGTAACTGTTGTAACAAACGTATAAAATACATCACACTTTAATTTGCATCAATAAGTTATTACAGTGTATAGCCTTTTGGGAATGATCAAGTACTTGTTGTGTATGTAATAAGAGATGGCAACATGCATATCTCATTAAAGTATCGAAAAAATTTGTGCACTTTTTGCATAAACCACTTCAGCAAACTTATTAACAAGTCACAGATCACTTTTGATGGATATTCTACATGAATAATGTTACATACCTAGGATACCAGAATCCAAGATGGCCACCTGTCAAGGTCATGTTCCATTACATTTATTTGGCGTAGATATATACAGCTATAACTTTTGTTCTATTGGTACAACTTTGTTATACTTGGTGGTAATTGGTACTTAATGGAAAGTCCACATGATGAATAAGGATATAATTTGTTGATCCCAGAATCAACTGGAAAGATGACTGCCACTGCTTGAGGTTGGCCAAGACTTTTTTGGTTGTAAAAATGTTTGGCGGAAATTGTACTTGACAGATTACATACAAGTTTTTTTATAATAATTGCTTGACAGCATGAACTACACATGAAGTTAGCAGAATTTGGCTGTATGCAGAAATTACTAGACTTCATAAGAGTCAACACCGACAGTGAACTTCTCGAGATTATTGGTATGTTATCTCATTGATATTAATAGTGATTGTTAGCTATATCACATTATTAATTACATTAAGGAGTTATTACTGATTAAGGTTATAATATACATGCATATAAATATTTATATATCACACATGTTGCACTATGATGAAAAGATGTATTGGTATAACCATATGGTTAGAGTGACGTGAACAGTCGACAGAATCTAACACTACACACATCTAAACTTTAATCTGTGGTGTTGTATATCCAGGGCTGATCATAGTCCAGATGTTGATAAAGAGTGACCCACGCTTGAGACAGATATTTGATCGCCATGGTGGCACAAGGCTGATGATGACCATGATGTCTAAGTACAGCAGTGGACCACTCAGGGACGAGATCAAGAACACCATGAGAACAGTGTCCAGTACTGGTCAGTATCCTAGTGTCTAGTCAGTATCCTAGTTTCTAGTCAGTATCCTAGTGTCTAGTCAGTATCCTAGTATTTATTCAGTATCCTAGTGTCTAGTCAGTATCCTAGTGTCTAGTCAGTAT